AGAACTGCCCGGTAAACCGTAGGCAGAGAGGGAGAAGAGGACAACAAACGAGGGGCTGTGACAAACTGTTTCGTCGGAGTTTCACCGACTCATTAGGATATATATATATATATATATATATATATATATATATATATATATATTTTACGAAAAAGAATTATGTTCGCCCGAACATGTTCGCGCGAACGCGCGAACGTGAAGGGGCGCGGACACATTCACCGTGCTACACAGAGTGTATCTTTACCTTCTGTCTTTTTCATATGCCTGAATTTATTACACGCCTTTGTACTTCTTTCACATTTTTTTTGCGGTTTCGCTATCTTTTTCACTTTGAGCTTTATTCTAATCCTCTTCTTCTATCTTTCGTGAATAAACTTTCTTTACTTATTTTGTCCAACCAAAATTATGCGAAATTGTTATAAATGAGAGGTTACTTGAACTTACCTTCCTCATTTTTAGGTCCAATTATGCCAGGTCATATGATCCTCCTTCCTCTCCTCATTATCCCGATTTTTATTTTCTTCTCACCCATGCGTCTTCTACCTCGCGTTACCATAAAACACACAAGCAAAATAAACATTCATTTAGGTTTTAAGCTGCGTAGCATCATGTTCATGTTCGGAGGCGAACGCGAACGAGCGTCCAAAACCCTTCGAACACGAACATAAAAAAATATTTAAATAAAAAACTCTCAGGAAAATCTGAAAAAAATATACGTGATGTAACACAACAATACAAGAAACATTGTCTTGGAATTATGTTCAAATTCTTAGCCATATGTGAGTGAAAAATAAAAAACCCAAAAAAAATTACAAAAAAAAATTGTGGTCACCCGAACATGTTCGTGAGCCGTTCGCGTGAACACATTCGTCGTGCTACGCATGTTTTAAGTTAATATTTCTTTAAAATATATATTTTTCTACGTTACCAACTGTCCGATGGGGAGACGTTTGCGCACTGCCAGGGGACCCCCCCCAAAAAATTGAGAGCATTCTGAGGAAAAAAAATAATAAATAGAAACAGGGTTTGGGGTGTGGGGGGAGGGGGGTAGGCTGGGTGGCTGGGGGGGTTCAATGGAGGGGCCACTGCTGCGGTCATCAACTCCAGCACATGCAGCAACTGTTGCTGCTTTGTCTGATGCAGCAGTTGCAGTAGGTGCAACACTTGTTGCATGTACACCATCCACTGCAGCAGATGCAGCAGGTGCAACAGGCGGGAGGGCACAACAACCAAATAGACATGCAATACAAAAGACAAGCAAAATACAACAAGAAACGAGCAAAAAAAAAAAAAAAAAACACCTGTCACCAGAAACCAAAACATTGAAAAAAATTGAAGTTAATGATGATAGATTGTTTCGTCAAAGTTGCACCGAATCAACAAGAGGCCGAACCCTCGACAACTTGAATCTGTGGAATCTCGTAATGATGGTTTGGGTCATGTACCGTTTGACCCTTATTGAAGGCAGACTGTCCCCAAACGAAACACAGCAACGGGCAACAGCTTAACGAAGAACCAGACATCTTGTAGGGGCAACACGACTACTCAACGCCAAAGACTATTGCAAGCCTTAGGAAGAAGAGAGCAAGCGGATAAGCAGCAATTTGGAAACCATGCAGTGAAGCGCAAACCTCAAGGCAACACCAACAAGGCAACCAAACTACATGACATGCAAGTAAGGTTGTCCAACAAGGCAAGCGGACGAGCAACTCAACAACCGTGTAGTGAAGCGCAAGGCAACCAAACTATAAGGCACGCAAACACGGAAGACCGACAGGGCAAGCATGCAAGCAGCTCGCCAATCGTGCAGTGAAGCGCGAGGCAACACCAACAAGGCAACAAAACTACAAGGCACACAAGCACGAAAGGTTGATAGCGCAAGCGGGCGAGTAGCTCGCAAACGGTGAAGTGAACGCAAGGCAATGACAACAAGGCAACCAAATCATAAGGCACACAAGCAATAGATACTAAAGGCACAACCTGTAGATGAGCGGCAGACGACATGTGAAGCAAGCGGGACGGGCAACAAAGCAGCGACAGAGCGCAAACAAGGCAGTCTACACATCTAATATAGAGCGAAGCAACATATCACCTACTCACATTATGAGCAAACCCTACAGACTGTTGGTTCCCAGCACCCGCTAAGCTAGGGAATTACTCAAACGAACATCCATCATCCCCCATAGGAAACCTCGATATCCCGAATTGAGCGGCCCCCCTAGGAGTGTTGTAGGCACTTCGAACGAGGAATGGCTGCTTATTTGGCACTGCTTAAGGGCTCTCACTTAGACAAACAAAAATACTTCAGAAAAAAATTAAAGGAGGAAAAACATAGAGAATGTTTGGGGTTTGGC